TGTAATGCATCAGTTAAAAAGAACACAGTTAATTAGGTTGGTGTCCCAGGAAACACAGTACTAAGACTGGTACGCACTACGGCCTACACAACTTGCACGCACAAAGCCGATGCAAATAACATTTGGCGATTGAAATATGTGTCGGTAAAATTGGTTGCGCTTTTTTTAAAGGTGTTTGTTTGGAAAATTGCTAATGGTGTGGTTACATTTCACGATGAGTTGGTTATGTTATTAATTGCGGGGCTACCTTTATCCTAGAGGCTATATCATGTTATTCCTTTTATATTTCAGACATTAACTCACACTGGCAATATTGTTGTCTTATTCTCTTGGCAAGGGTATCCCACGCCATTTGTCTTTGGTGACCCTGCCGAGTCTAGTGAACCAGCAGGTGAGTTACTATGTGTTCTCGTACCTATTGGAAACATTTTGGCTTTTCATGGCCAGGTGTTTCCATTCTTCGCTTTCTATGTATTTCTTTTTTATTATATCATGTTTTGGCAGTTTTCTTTTATACTACTTAAGTACTGTAAGAGTGCACCTGACATGACAACGAAATGCTCTGTAATTAAGATTGTAGGTATGCTGTTCAGATCCTGTTGAGTGTTTCAAAGTGCAGATTCATAACTTGGTCATTCAGAATAATATTATACTTGTTAATATCAATGTTGTACAGATTAATAGAATGATTAATATACAAATTACACAACTCGGTAATCTGAGTGAAAGGGCAACTACACGCTAAATATACATGGCGACACAGATCTTTTGAATTTATTAGGCGATCAAGGTGAAAACTGAAATTGCTATTCATAATGTTTGTGGCTATTGGACCGTCTTTTCAGCACATCAAAGACAAGTTCTGGATACTTTCGTGTTCTACAAATTTCATCTTTGTGTTCGGTGTCATGAATGTTCAGTACATGAATGAGATGGTGCTCTGGTGGCGCCGTGGTTCTCCGTGCTCGGGTTCCTTCACATTGCTCGTGCAGCTGGGAAGAGACGGTTGAATACGTAAGTCCAACACAATGTCCTTCTAGTGACTTTTTGTGCGGCGTCAGCACACACACTGTAGTGACGCAGTTTTCGCATGACATTTACAGAGTTAAGAGTTTATAATACGGTCATACTACCGTGTGCTATTGGACAGATATCACTGGTTGTAATCATGTGAATGGTGTGACTAGTCTGGATCCGTGATTGCGCTTGTGGGGTGGATTCTGGCATGTCCTAATATGGGTGGCATGTCAAACCAGTCGATCAAGTGTTTGATGTTAGTTATGAACTCGCATGTGATGGGTCATAATGTGAGTGAAACGTTTTGTTTAAGAAAAACGTAATGAATTTTGGGAAGATCACTGCCCTTTGGGATGTAATCTAATGGGATTTATACGCAAACAAATGTGCATGAGTGTGAGAAAACATTTTGCGTTGTTGCTGCAGAGCAACAAGCCAACATTCTTTAAACATGTTTGGCATGAGACTGATTAGGCTCATCGAACCTCTGGCGTAAAACCACTTGACATTAGCTTTTGCTGTGTGAGAATATGGTTGATAGCAGCTTGCAAAAGTAACTGGCAGTCTAAATGAAATACATGGTCTAATGTTTACCTTGGCAGCATTACATTAACTACTCTACTTATGTTCAAGGTTGTAAAAATTTGCTTTTAGGTTTAACACGTTGCCAGACATCTTTTCCCGTGCAGATAAAAATAAAACTCCCCACTTCACATTATTTGGTGGTCAGATATAGCTATACAGTACTGCCTGTGATGTTGTGTAGATGATGGGAACTGTACAACATTGTAGTGCAGTCATATGATATGCAACAAGTGTTGTTGCAAATTAATATAATATTCATTTGCACAACACTGTTGATATGACATGCATACAATGTTTTACAGTTCTATCATCTACACAACATCACAGCAGTACGTAATAGCTATATCTGACACCAATAATGTGGAAGTAGGCGAAGTTTCTAAACCTTTCATATATATATGACTAGTGTAATTTAATAGGCCGTAGCTACGTGTCCGGTTTGACCGACGCAACGAGCTCGCCAGGCTACACGGATGGTCATGGTTTTCTTATGTGAACCCAACTATAATTATTTTTTTAGTAAAAACAATAACCAATCAGTTTTTTACATAATATCTTACTTACCTTTGGTATTTTTATCAAAAAAATGTGTTTTTTGTAATTTGAAGGCAATAGTTTATAGTAATCCGTAACATCAACGATTTGAAAGGGGCGTAGCTAATCATGGACGTGGATTTGGGAATCTGTGCTCGAGGCTTTTGTAAATGGATGTCCGACGCGTAGCCACCTGGCAATTTAATAGGCTGTTAAACTTTCAGCCATGCAACGCCATGGGTTCATCCAAGAGCACTTATAGCTGGCGGCCGCCGCCAGGCTATCGTCGAGCCCGCCATCCTAAATGCAGTCCCGCCACTTTAATATCATGAGCCGCCCGGAACCGCCATCGCCTAGCCACCAAGCGCGCAAACTTTCTTCGGAGATTTGCAACTAGGACCGTAAAGGCAGCACCCGCCATGCTATAATGAAAAAGCTTGGAGAACCCAGCAACCGTTCATGTGTATGTTCATGTCTACACCAGTACCAGCCAAGTATAAAACGTTGAATGTCAGATGTGTTTGACTCGCAGCATTTATTATTTCCCTGTGCCACTTGGTTTACACTAGCCAATTATCTACTTCAAAACACGAGACTTGTCCTTCGTAATTTTTGGAGGTTAACGTAGCATGCAGTGATAGCAGTTAATGTGTCCTTCAAATCTTTAATATTTCGATTGCACAAAATATCAACACATTATGTATTTGTTTGAATTGCTGATAATGAAATCAGCTTTACATGAAGGTTGAAGAGTTATTGCATTTCAAAATTATCTTATATATAGACTTATCACTGGCTTAATAATGTGTATGTAGAGATTTTATAGACCTAGATATGGGATAGATTAGAATTATGGTACATTTGCAGATCCATTTTAGCTGCCTGGAAATGCCTATTAGTATTAACTGGTTTATTCATTCTCACAGAATGTTACTCCAGTCCTGAATTTCTGTGATTATTTGGCCTGTAATGGCAGTACGGATTTAGAATTATCCAAAAATTGAGAATGTATAATTTACTTCAAATAAGGTGGATGTATAATTTACTTCAAATAAGGTGGTTGACCAACTACACAACACATTTAATTAATTCCACAATCATATATCAAAGTGCCTATGGTTGTTTGTATAGATAACAGATGTACTATGTATGGGTTAGTGTATAGGAATATGTGTCTCTACTGGCCACTGTGTAAAAGTGTTTATGTGAAAAGGTACTTGAAATTTGCCTCTGTAAATGTTAGCTGTATCCACATCCTGTTTGTGAATGTGAATAGTCGTAGCCATAAAAATGTTTGGCACAATGGTGATATACAAGTTAACACCTGTACACGAATAGGGGATGGGTGAACTCGCTCCTGTACCTATATAGGTAAACAACACTCTAAGAAATGCTTTGGTAATTACTAACTATTTTTTGTAATATTAACACATTAACAGCTTTTGCTAGAACTTGCCACTTCTGTGATAACAACTACCAGATTTTCGTAATAAAATTCATTCGATTACAAAAACAGTTGAGCTGTCTTACAAAAATAACATCCAAAAGTGGCAAGTTCTTCGATATATATTAAATGATTTCTGTTACGATTGTGGTGAGCCATGACGAAAGCTGCTTTCGTGCAAAGCTTGCTGCTAAATCAACAGTTGAGCACTCTTAACTACAGTATGGTAAATGTCAACAATTCCTGGGTCTGCGTTATACGGCTTGATTCGGAGTGATACGGAGATGTGACGGAGTGATACGGGAGCGATATGGAGATTCGGTTGATACGGAGTGATGGAATGAAATTCTCACCGAAAGGAATATTTATATACTAGTCAGTATTGTAATGGTATTGTGACATATATTGTACCGTTGGAAGTTTAGAATATGATTACTTAACCACATGTATCAAGGATGCATGGCTTTTGGTATATTTATAGCTTTGGCATTTCTCCCGTGCCGTTCAACTTCACACTCGTTAAGAAAACTTCACTCTTGTAATTCTTTTCTTATCTGAAACAAAGTATGTATATATATATATATATATCAGAAGTAGATAATAGGGATCCCTATTATCTACTTCTGATACATATATATATATATACACGCATATAAGTCTATTACATCCTACTTATGAATGGCATTATTACCAATAATGTTTGGTGGGATTCTGATCTATGTTTGCATTAATCTTCTCTTTGATTTTAGATTGCATTTAGCAGCTGCGTGGGACCGAGTGGGTGCTAAATACCTCTAAGTTAAGAAAAGTGATGATCTCTTAAATTTTAGGTCGAATATCGCAGCTGCGTGAAACTGAGTAGATGTCAAAGACCTCTGGCAGTATCCCTCCTCTAACGAAAACCTAGCTCTAGAACTATAGCCCTTCGCTCTGCCACAGGCCTGTTCTAGAGCTAATAAAATCCTTGCTGTATAAGAGCGTGTAGACGTCTGACTGTGTCAGAGCGATCTCTCGCGTAATGAAGAACTGACGTGCACTTTTGGCGTTTTTTTCTTGTGGTTGTATTATCCACCCGCACGCGACCGCCGACGGTCATTCACACTCGATTCCTTTTATGGAGTCGTTTATTTTTATGTTATTTTTTCACGTCACATTTTTTTCGTGTTGTTTTCATTTTCACGATCCACGTCTTTTTGACGATCCATTTCTATTCACGATTCGTGTGTTTACGTGAATCCATACAGGCTTCCATGCATCCATCATACCATCATACCATACATCCATCATATATACAATCCATACATGTCTTTTCAAAATCAATATCTTTTTCATGATCCATATCTTTTCACGATCCATGTCTTTTTCACGACGACGGGCGCGTCGTTCATTCTCTCTCTCTCTCTCTCTTTCTTCGGCACAGCTGTCGTTTTCGCCGAGCACGCCGCGGTGGACGCACATTCGCATGCTCAGCCTGCTCGCGTCGATCCTGCTGACGTCACTCGCACTGCTCACGCTCTGTACGCTCGTCGGACTCCACGCCGGACTCAACACCTTCGCCTTCATGGCTGCCGAGGTGAGGCGGGCGCGCTAATTATTATTATTATTATTTATTATATATTATATATGTCATGGGTCGAAGTCCTAAGGGGCCCGATGCCCGTATTTTAAGGCTCGGGCCTGACATTTCTAATACTAGCAAGCCTGACGGGACCGTAGAAAATCTACGTGCACATTCTATTGCTGTAGTGCAGGCCAGCCAACAGTTAAAATATTTTATTTAAAAAATAATGTGCGGTATCTGCGGAATGACGCGGGCCTGTAATTTGCCTGTCGGGCCTGTAAAATCCCTTGCCTACAGGCCCAGCAGGCATGTAAATTTTCAAATTAATTTCTACCCCTATATATATATATGTTAAGGCTGGGGAGAGTGAGAGGACTACTACCCTTATTTCACGGCTTGGGAAAAGGGGCAGGTGCAAGCATGTGACGTGTGCGTAAGGCTAGATATTAGATAATGAAGGCCTTTTGGTCCCCTTGTTACTACTACCCCTATTTTATGGCTTGGGAAGAGTGCATGTGCAAGCATGTGACGTGCGCGTAACAGTAGATAGATGGTGAGGGCGTTTACTCCCATTATAGGTGTTGTACAGTTCAGTAGAAGGCATCGATAGGCAGCTGGCCTGACTCAGCACTGTTTCGTCGCATACACACATACAAATAATGATATATAGGATAATCGGGCAGAGTAGTAGGCATGGCAGGGTCTCTTCTGGGATCGTTTTTAAAGGTTGAGTGAACACTTGAGAGCGCCATCCAAAGTTACTTTAGCCACCCAACTCTAAAAAACAATAGCCAGGGTTCACCTTTCTCATATGTGCTAAGCCAAGGTCATAAACATGATCAAGGTGTGGGAATAGAACGGCGCTACAAAAACATTTTTAATCAAAGTAATCAAGTAAAAATAAATTCAATGGATGTTTATTCTACAGCAAAACTAGGTTGGCTTTGTTTGAGGATAAACGCTAAAATGACGATTTAAGGTTACCCGCAATTTGTTAGTATGCACACTACACTGCATTTCACAGATTTCATTCGTTCAAGTCGCTAATCTTGTTTGAGCAGTTAAATCATTCGGCCAAGTTAATGTATAAAGATCTGTAACTTTTATTTATTTATCGCCATTTGCGAAGGCGTCGGCGAACCGCCAGCGTAGCTCCGTGGGCATCGAGCATCGTGACGTGTGCGCTGGACAACAGTCGGTGAGCCATGACCACCGTAGCAGTAACTCATAGTGCGTGTAAAAGGCATCAGATAGATAATGAAAGAACGTTTGTCTTCCTGTTACTACAGTATACCCTTATTTCGTGGCTGGGCGAGCTAGGAGAGTGCACGAAAGCATGTGACATGTGCGTAAGGATAGATAAAGAAGGTGTTTAGTACCCCCGTAATATTTTATATCTGGGGAGGAGAGTGCACGAAAGCATGTGACATGTGCGTAAGGATAGATAAAGAAGGTGTTTAGTACCCCCGTTATATTTCATGGCTAGGGAGGAGAGTGCACGCAACCATGTGACATGCGCGTAAGGGTAGATAAAGAAGGTGTTTAGTACCCCCGTTATATTTCATGGCTAGGGAGGAGAGTGCACGCAACCATGTGACATGCGCGTAAGGGTAGATAAAGAAGGTGTTTAGTACCCCAGTAATATTTTATGGCTGGGGAAGAGAGTGCACGCAAGCATGTGACATGCGCGTAAGGGTAGATAAAGAAGGTGTTTAGTACCCCAGTAATATTTTATGGCTGGGGAAGAGAGTGCATGTGCAAGCATGTGACGTGCGCGCGTAATTACCAGTAGATAGATAGATGGTCACAGAGGGCGTTTACTCCCATCATATCAGGGGTTAATAATGACAAATGTGTCATTATTAACCCCTGATTATATGCTCTCGTCACCGAGCCACGTGACACAAGGCGTGTGATGCGCGTAGCAGTCGATACTAATCCGTATATTGTCTGCTATGCCTATGTGCAAGAGTAGATAATAACACATGTGTTATTATCTACTCTTGCTATGTGCTATGCCCGTTGTACGGCAGTGGGCAGTGGGCAGCGTGACGTAAGCGACACAGATACGTGTGCGTGCATGCGTGGCATATGCTGCTTTCAGCTCGTGCGTCCTGTACTCGACGTACGACGTTAACGTTAAGTGTTGTGATAGTATCGGTATATAAATGTTTACTCAACAGAATGCGGGGAAAAAAGGTTAAGCCTGCACGTGTAAACAAACTCCCTGTAAAATGTGTACACTCGTGATTGTACGTGTGAGTGGTTGGGGGGAGGGGGTGTAGGAAACCCATGTTAGGTCAGATAGGATATGTTTTCGTATTGAGATTAAATGCGTGATAGCTAAGCTTAGTCATGCAGTTGTTCTTTTTAAAACAGCAACAAAATTTGTATAATATTACTATTATCTATTATTATATACGTGCATAACACTACCGTGAAATCCGTTGTGTCTGGCCCGTATAGTTTATTTACCCAACGCATCAAGTCCTACCTTCCCTGTCTGGTGGAATGTAGGTAATGTTTATTTTCTGTCTAGGAACCACCATCCAGATATTACTGCGTACACTGTCTACCATGGGCTCGTAGTTATGTGTCATACGCACATACACACCCATTTTTTCTGTGGTCGTGGTAGCTATGAAATAAAGCACAGCCCACCCATCCCAACCAATATCCGCAAACTCGGTTTCTGAGTAGATCGAGAGCCTATCCCTTACATTCATAGTAGTTCCTGTAAGCAGTTGTGTACGTTCATATGCAATTTGTTTGGGATAGAAAACTGTAGGGCTTGGGAGTCAGTAGCATAAATGTATGTATAATATCAAGAGCCGGATAATACCTCAAATAATAATAAGGTATTATCCGCCTTCTTAGCATAAATAATATATATAACTATAATATATATATAATAATACAGGCCCGTAAGCCAGGGCGGGTTCGGGCGGCGTTCGACAAAACCCCCCCGTAGCCCCTACCTCCCCAAGCCAAAAAAACTTCTTTTTTTTAATTTGCAGAATTTCACTCAGCGATCGCTACCATTTTAGATGTAATAATTAATCTCCATCGTGCGCGATAGCCGCGGTGCAACAGTGAAACACACCCTCCCAACACCCTCCCCCCGCATCGGTCCGCTTGGCCTCCCTCGCCTCTAGGTCGCCTTTGCGCACCGAGCAGCGGCGCGTGTACAGGGGGGGTCCAGGGCAGTCCGACCCCGCCCCCCTTGCCTCGCGGCAGAAAACCGCAATCTGAGGGGGAGTAATTTTAAAAAAAATTAGACCACCACTTATCGCGTTGCTCGCAACCTATGGTTTGCGGCTAGACCCCCTGCCGTACAATCCGTCTACACGCCCCTGCGAGCAAATTGCCAAACATTGAAAAACGAACCTCCCCCCACCCAATAGAAAGCTGGCTACGGGCGTATATATATAAGTTTTATCAGGAGTGTATAATATAAATATAGTCATTTTTAATTTTTAAATTATACCAACTCCTGGTTTTATCATATATGCACAGATGTGAAAGTTGACCAATAACACTGATTCTTTTACACCGACATCTCTTATAGCGATGCGTATTTGTTAGAATTTTATCGTAATTAACAACGCAACCTATGGATGTTGTCGATATCCAACATGTCAATATACAGACGAAAATTTCGCTCTACAATAGCACCAATCGTGACCGTTTTTATCTCTGGGAGATGCTATTCTAGGGGCTGTAGCCGTAATCGTCATCAGTAGTTATGATATCCTTTCTAAAATGTAGTGTCCTGCAAAAGTTTTGATTTTTTTTAGTTACGATAGTCATAACTACTTGTGGCTTTTCTGACAATGCCCCGCCCCCTTGAATGGCTCTTAAAGGGCGGACACCACCAGGCCGATGCCATCGGCCGCGAGCGCCGATTCCATCGAGCCGTGATCGGCCCGATTCCATCGGCCCGATATCCATCGAGCGATTGGCTATCGGCTGCTTGAAAATCGCACTGGTGCTGTCCACTCAATCGCCTGCGATGCATCATCGCCACAGATCAAAACGGTTTTGATAATTATACGCCCGATGCCATCCGGCCAGATGGCCATCGCTGGGCCTGTGTCCACGACTTGCCCGATGCCATCGGCGCGAATTTTACAATTCATCAGCCAATTGAACAACAAGCCACATGCTAATTACTGATCACTGTACCAGAGTGAACCAATGCGCTCAGCGACACAATGCGCAGAAATCACATTGTATTTTTTTCAGCACAACGGCCCGCTGCGTGTAAAATCGGGGGCCAGATGCCATCGCCTGCGTCATGTCCACGACTGCGCGGATGCATTCCGGTTCGCATGCCATCTGCCCGTAATGCATCGCCATGCGTAGTGTACCGCGCCCATAATCATCCAGTTCCTGGCTCCAACATTTAAGGCGCCGGACACACCAGCGATGCCATCGCCGATGCAATCTCCGCGCAGTCGTGGACACACATGGCGATTTCATCGGCGATGGCATCGCCCGATCTTGCGTGCGCGCAGTGCGCTTATGGCTTGATGAACTCTGATTGCTGATGAATTGCTAAAATCGCCCGACTGGCATCGCGGCAGTCGTGGACCCACACCACGGCACATGCCACTCGGCCGAGCATCGGCCGATTGGCATCGGGATAATATCCAAAACGTTTTGATCTGTTGCCATGCCATCGGCCGATGGCATCGGCGATAAATCAAAACGTTTTGATCTGTGCGATCCATCGGCCGGATGGACATCGGGCCGATAGCCATCGGCGGCCGATTGAGTGGACAGCACAGGCGATTTCATGCCGATGCCATCGGCCGATGGAAATCCCGGCCGATTTGGAATCGGACGATCAATCAGGCGATGGCATCGCGCCTGGTGCTGCCGCCCTTTACCAAGCCACGTAAATCCCATGCTTGTTTGACGATAGTTTCTTATCGCGTTCTTTTTCGTGCAAAAAATCGCAGTCGGCCCTGGATGTCAGTGTCACTCATGGGGGGAGGGGGTAATAACGGAAGTTTCCTCTATAGAGGGTCGTCGTTTTTAACTGTACAGTCTTTATACGATATTCGACCGTAGTGCGTTTCTATGTACGTCGATTGTACAGCTGGATATCACGCGTGTTGCGTCCACGCTAGTTGTTGATGTGTAGAGAGAGCTATCTGCGCGTGGGCGTCGTGTATAAACAGCACGTTTTCTCTCTTTCTGCCCCCTCCCCCCTCCCGGCTCATACGCTCCAGTGGTAAACAGCATGTTTTCTCTCTCTGTACCCCCCCCCGCCAGCCCGGCTCGCAGTGTTTACAAACAGCCATTGTTTTCTCTCTCTGTCCCCCCCCCGGTCGCAGTTAAACAGCATGTTTCCTCTCTCTCCCCCCCCCGTGCTCGCAGTGTAAAGCATGTTTCTTCTCTCTGCCCCCCCCGCTCGCCATGTAAACAGCATGTTTTTCTCTCTCGTGCCTCCCCCCCCCCGGGCTCGCAGTGTAAACAGCATTGCTTTCTCTCTGCGCCCCCCGCCCCCGGCCTCGCAGTGTAAACAGCATGTTTTCTCTCTCTGTCCCCCCCTCCGGCTCGCAGTGTTTACAAACAGCATGTTTTCTCTCTCTGTCCCTCCGGCTCGCAGTGCGTGCTGCTGACGGTGCGCACGCTGTACGTGATCGTGCGCTACTCGATACACCTGTGGGACTTCAACAAGAAGGGCGTCTGGGAGAACCGAGGCAGCTACATGTACTACACGGAACTCGTCTTCGAGCTGGCCGCCCTCTCCGTCGACTTCTGCCACCACCTGCACATGTTGGTACGTACGCGCGCGCGGCTGCGGCGGTGGCGCGGCGGCGGAGGAAATAATGGTTATTATTCCTTCTAAATAATAAAATATAATTATATTATATATATTATATATATTTATATATAATTCAGTATATATATATTTAATTATATAATAAATAATATTCGTTATTACAGCTGGTGCTGTAATGGCGCTCTGTGGTCTCATTCTCATTGATTGCGTCAATCGATCTGATCGTGCGAGCGGTAGCAAAAAAAGATCAATAGAGTCGCAGAGTGCTGCGTTCGATGGTCTGTTCTCTATCGCTGGCCTTCGTGTGGGTTTTTTATTTGGGCCGATTGCCGTCTCGACGATGGTCGCGGCTATTCATTCAAGGTTCATTCATTCATGAGCTGCTGCTGGTTGCTGCGCTTATGTATATTATTATCAACATCCGCGTTGTCTGCCCTGGAATGGGGCGTCGCTGTGTACACTGTTGTTCAATTGCTGGAGAAGATCAATCTGTGACAGAATGCTTGTACTCACACTTTTCGTTAAAAAAAGTTTGTAGAGTAGATTTTTTGAACTTTCAAGATCGAGTCAATCAAATCTTTGGCAAAAAGCCGTTGGTGAGAATTTAAAAGTTCACTGATCAAATTTTTGATCAACTATGTCGTTATGTTCTATTTTCTACACTCAACTTCTAGGCACCGGGTTAATTAACTTTGATGTATTCAGCCAATCAGTATATAGCATGCGTGGTGTGTGTCTTGTTTTTACGTGTACTTGCGTGTGCGATTGCATAAGACAGGTCGCACTGTAAAGAAAATGTAAACAAGTTCGCGAAAGTAGGACCGTTGTTCATCTGATGCCAAACGATCGTGGCTAATTACTTGATCCATACATTGGATGAATAATTTCATAGCTCTGCTTCAGTTGTTTGATCCATTTGATTTGCATCTGTTATTGTCCCAATTTCAGTTTATGTTATTGCCACCAATATCATTAGTATTATGATTATGATTATGATTATTATATTCACAGCTGTGGGGTAACATCTTCTTGAGCATGGCCAGCCTGGTCATCTGTATGCAACTGCGCTATCTCTTCCACGAGATGCAGCGACGTGTCAAGAAACACAAAAACTACCTACGTGTTGTGCATCACATGGAGGCAAAGTACGTAGCCCTAGCTCTTCCATGCTTAACATGATGCCAGAGTTCTTTCTTTTTTTTATCAAATTCAGTGTTAAAATCATCATTGTTTACAGAAGTTTGCAAACGGGTAACATGTTAGTAGCTTCAACAATCTGTATTCGATCATATTCCTCAATTTGTATCGTGCTACTAATTTAACATGTAAGCCATAACTGAAAGTGATTTTATATACAATTTCTTGTGCTTGTGTGATCTGCAGGATACATGATTAACGATCGACTCATATGCTTAGTAGTGTAGTGTTATCAAAATTGTCTTTCTGCGTCTAGTTATCCGATGGCATCCTACGACGTTATTGACAGTAACATTGACGATTGTGCCATCTGCTGGGATAAAATGGAAGCAGCACGGGTGTTACCTTGCAATCACATGTTCCATAAGTGAGTTGGGCTTCTTAGCTACCGTTATAGGCTACAAACCAGATTATTAAAGTTCATCTGTTTCGCTCAATGCTACAAGTTCATTGAGGTGCACGATCAGGTGCGAGTCAAATATTAAGTGGGTAATGTGACGTGATTGCGTGTGATATTGTGTCACTGCTTTGCGTAACGACTTCTCGATAATATCCTTCTGCAGTTCTTGCTTGAGATCGTGGTTGGAACAGGACACCTCGTGTCCTACCTGCCGCACGTCGCTCAGTGACAGTCGCAGCAGCAGCAGTAGTCAAGCAGAGGAGTTGACCGAGACTGTCCCAGATACTCCAGAGGCAACGACGCCCAACCGGCAACAGCGCAATCACTTTTTCCACTTTGACGGTGAGTGTAGTTGCAAGGCACGCCAGCGGAGTGCAAACGGATCAGAAAAATTTGGTAGTACTGATGCCGGTGTTGTCATTGTTTGGAAGTGGGCCCAGATAGATAGAGGCAATGGCCATTTGCATCCAGAAGATTTTAGCTTGTTAAGTTCATTATTTCGAGCTTAGATATCAACGCTGCTTTGTCTTCAGGTGAGTGTAGTTGCAAGGCAAGCCAGCTACGTTAGTGGAGTTTAAAATTTGATAGTATGGAACTGATGATCATTGTTTGGAAGTGGCCCTAGGTAGATAGAGCCAGTGGTTATTTGCATCCAGAAGATGTTTGCTCGTTAGTAAGTTAATTAGTTAGTCGAGCATTATTAGCTTAGCAATCAACGCTGCTTTCTCCTCAGGTTCACGGTACATGCCGTGGCTTCCCAGCTTCTCAGTGGAGGTGACGCACACCCAGCTGTTGGGAGCAGAACCTCAGCTGCAGCAGAGCATACAGACGTCACAGCTGGATAGCATGGTGTGTACTACCATAGCATTTGTTGTATACTACTACTTGTTGTATTGTTTAAAGCTTTGGTTTTCAATTTTCAACCAGTCTTGTGTTTTCCCCACTTTTACGACAACGCAACCGTTATTGCTTGAGTAACAGCAACTGTCTAGAGTAATGATGAAATGCCTTAGAATCTTCGTACTTAACTATATTCTCCAAAACATCCACGATTCGAATTTTGATTACTCGTTTTGATTACCGCCGCCATGTTTTGCAAATCACGGACATTTCTCGCAATGTGCCAGCTATCGGCCACTTTTAAAATAGAAACGGAGTCAACTACACAGAATCAGATGCCCTTTTGTTTGAATTAGGTGCAGAATGGGTGCACTTGCAACTTGTTGGTAAAAACCAGGGCCCATTTGCAAATTTATTGTCGCTATAATCAAATATGCCATGGTGTTATAGCGTGTTCAATTTTAATTTGCTATGCTATAACAGCATAAATTATTAGTGTTTTTCAAGTTGGTGTAATCAGTAATATATCCGCTGTGAGGTGAGACTATATTTAGCTATATTTTTTTCAGATTGATCGTTTTGGAGCAATGATTTCGAAATAATAGCTTTAATGTGCATTGTTTAGCACTCGTGTTTCTGTTGAATCAATTTGTGATTAGTGGCTATTGTGTAACCCATTTCATTTACCTCTGATTATTTTCCAACCTGTTAGATTCACCCGTGCTAAATTACCCCTGAGAAAAATCGTAGCTGTAAACAATTTTTCGCTTTATTGACGTCCGATTATTGACGTGTTTCGGGGTCGGGTTTCGCGCCGGCGTTTGATTGCATTTGCCCCGTATTTGCGTTTTTACTGTCAGAATCGTTTGTGCTACGCTGTTTATTGATCTCTGCATGTCTGTGGGTGTGTGTGTGTCTCCGTGCGTGGCGGCGAGTGCAGGCACGCCAGGTGCAGTCGATGTTCCCTCACATGCCCATCAACGTGATCATGGACGACCTGCGGGTAACGCGCTCCGTCGAAATCACGATCGAGAACATCCTGGACGAACGCCTGCTTCCTGCTCCCGTAAGTCACACGCACGCCCACCCGCCGGGACGGCTAGACGCGATGATGCGTTGTTGTCGTGAGTAAACCGGTGCTAGGTGGCGTTATAATAATTAATATCGTGTCTTTCGCGATGACATGGCTGCCAGGTGATGGCTTAGGCCACAATTAAAGAAATTTTTGTGTGCTCTCATCCGACCCAGGCTGAAAAGTTTAGGTAGGTAGGCTTTTTTTGAAGGGGTCTTTTTACGAATTCAGCATGGTGACTACATGCTCGGGTGTGCTTGTGTGGAGATACTTTTTATGTTGAATGTTTGTATTGATTGGTACATATAATGTATTGCCTACAGATTTATACAATGTACAGTGATACAATTTGTAAAAAAAAAAAAGAATGGGAAAGGTCAATAACATTTTTTTTAGTCGGCCCCTTTTTGGCGGGTCGGTCGGGTGAGGGCAAACAAACTATATTTGTATTATGGCCTTAGCTTCTTTATTACCCTGTTTCCCTAGCAATCTACATCTCTGTGTTATGCAATGACTCTGTGGTATTACAACGTTACACCAGTCATCTTGTTCCTCTAAATAACGTGGCTGACAGGTGGCACCGGTAAGCAAGGGTCTCGCAATAACATGGCTGTTAGGTGGCATGTGTAGCATATTCCAACCAGCAGGTATAAGAAATAACATCTAGTAAAACATCAGCAATTATTTACGGTCATGTATTGCCGAGTTTACTTTCTGACAAACGTACTCTGATCTGAAAACCCCTGATGTTGATATCTTCTGTTAGGCATATACTGTTTAAATTGCAGGATACTCAAGTATAAAACATTTAAGCATTATCGAGGTATAACGAGTAATGATGTTTCATAATGTTTTTCTCAATAGAGCGCACAGCTGTCAAGAACCGGTTCTCAACCGAGTGAAACTCTGTCTACACAGGTACGTACGTGTAAATGCTGTATCCAAATCGTACAATCACTTATATACGTCTACTTTAGATATAAGGGTAGAATTTGCGTTTGTGTGTGCATGCACGAATGTGTGCTTCTTACTTCTTCCTCTTGTGTGAACACAGTGCTGTGAAATTTACACAGGTACTTACACATGCTTGCATACAAGTATCTACAGTAGTGTGCACTGCAAATTCAGAAAGCATAATCTTGGAATAGTGCAAGAAAATTGATTGATGGTTATGGAAGTGTGTACAGTTTAGCAGGAGCAGGATTGTCAGAGGCAGAACGAATTTGGTATGTGGCTATATGACATGTGGCTTATGCCTGTGAGTTAAGCAGGGCAGACGACAACACTATCCAACTGCATCATCCAGTCAGTTGACAAAAATTGCCGTCTAAGAAAAAAAATAGTTCTAAAGCCTTGGAGTTGTAAGTTCATTTACCCATCGTTTGGATGCTTCGTGTGATATATAAGATGCTGAGAAAACAATTCCGTGCTAGGACACGTGACGACTGCACGTATGCCCCAGTTCCACTATGCTATATATGGCTCGTGAAATCACATGTCAACGCTCTTGGTGACGCCATACATGAGAAAGTGCATTTCTTGTTGCTGCGTGCATTTGCCAGCAACTTTCACATCCCCGGTGTATCAGTTACACTGTGAAGAAACGTAGGCATGGCCACATTACGTCAAGTAACTGCTGTAGGCATTCTACGCCGTACAGAGAGAGAGAGAGAGCAAGCAAGTGTGTACGTGCGTGTATGCACGTGTGCGTGTGCAGGAATGGCAGGAAGCTTCGATTTAATGTAAAAATGTTGTTGCTTCAAGTGCAAGAAAAACAATGAGAGCGTAGTGGCATGAGCTGGTTTGCTCAGAGTAAACTGGAGAATTCATCCTTGGTAATGGGAAAACATTACCCATATAGTGCGATGAGTGATGCAACTATTATGCACAACAGCTTTCATTTCAAACGTGGTTGGTTTCTAGGGAGCTGATGTTTTTGCCCGCATAAAAACTTTTAATGTGAAGGCCATCTGTATGAAGGTCCTCAAACACTCTTACTTTCAGATATCCATCTTTATATTTAGTGTTCTTCTAATTAAAAAATTGTGACAGGAGTTTGATATGAATTTTTAAACAGTGCCAATAGTTGTGTTCGCATCTGTATGGTGACGTATAGAACTAAGATAGTTTTTTTATATCCATTTGCAATAATTTATTTATATATGATACAGTGGCTACAGTACAGTGTTTTGAATTATCACAGGTCTCTACGTCATCGTCAACAGATGACAGCATGATCTTTTATGCAGGTGGAGATATTGCAGATGGTGCATTCTTAGACAACGATGAAGTCCTGCATAGTTCATTGCCTGATACAAACAGGTAATATATAATAATCACCTCAAACGTAGTTTTCTAGCATTCAAAAAGGTTATTTCTTTATTGTGTTTAACACATAAATAAATAAATAGTGTCATATAATGCTTTCCTGCCTATTGTTAGGTATGTGGACCAATACCAATTGATGTGCAATCCATCAGAAAAGTTTTGAGTGGTCGAGTTGAACCACGCACAGCATTAAATAGCAACTGACTATCACTAACTCAATAGCACTCTAATCTCACTGACAGCAGGTTTGAGCCTTGCTGGTTTGTTGCACCTTGTATTTTTCATTGCAGTGCGGAAAATGTACTGGAGTCGTTCGGCAGCAGGTTTTCAAAGTGCCCCACAGAAAGAGAGGTAATTCTGCAAAAGAGGAAAGAATCCCTTGTGCAGCAAGCAAGAAAGTAAGTCCCTATATAAGAAAGTAAAGTCAGATTATTATATTGTTGTTTTTCCTTGTAAACAGGTTACAAATTGTTATGTGAATAGTAATTTGCAGAATTGGATGTAAAGGAATTGGAAGTGTATAAGAAAATTTTTGTCAGAAATATATTCTGTAGGGTTATTTAAATGGTCTTCGTCTAGGTTTAACGGGAAGTAATTTATATTGGAAGCTATAGCATCACAGATCGCCATCACAGAAACCTAAACTGTTTTCTGTCTTTCCTTTTTCATATTTTCATTGATAGAAAATACATGGCAAAACGCCACCGCCAGTCCAATTCAGGGTCGGAGTGCTGTCAGCAGGGGGAGCTACAGTCCACTGGAAGCAGCAGCAGCAGCAACCAGCACATGGGTGAAGGTGACTGCGAGAGCAGGAGAAGAAACACGCTGGAGCAGAGACGCAGTGCTATGTACTTGGCCGCGCGCCAACGACTCGAGTCTCAGAACGGCCTGAGTTAACTCTTGCGGTCGGCGTTCGACCGTTGACGGTGAAAGAGATCGCCGAGAGAGATCCGCGGCGTGACGCCGCTCCGCGTGGACGTGCCCGTAAGCCTCGCGAAAACGTCTGATCTTGAATGCCGCAGGCGACGTCGAAAGCAGACGTTGCTGCTAGCTGTTTCAGTCGTCGCTCCGTGGAAACATTCTGCTTATGGAAAGGATGCAGACGTTTGATGGCCAATTTAGTTGAGCCCACTCTAAGATTCTTATTCCGACGTAGAAGTTCTTGCACTGATCACTCGCATCGAGATGATCAGCACGTTGAATCAAGCATCGTTGCTACGGTTACTTTCAACGTCTGCTGACTGACGTGGGTTGGCGATTGGTCTGTTTATAGGCACCATCTTCTCGACTATCGAACTGCGATTGAGTTTGATTTTGCTAGAGTGATTTTCATTAGACAACGATGAAGCAGTTGAGCCATTTTCAGATCTGAGGATTGCCCACGGTCTTGTATAAGTGATAATTTCTTCAATCTTAGGGCATCTGCTTTTTAATATGTACTGATCAAGCACAGTCTACGTCGGCTGCTCAATTACCGACAGTTGGTTGTTTAACTGGTATTAATTATGTCAGAGTTTATGTCTGCATCTGTCTTCAAATAATGTAATGTGGCCGGTTTTCGACGGTCGTAATAACCGCATATTCAGGTAAACCCAGAGGTGAGAAAATATAATTGAGTCCCTCGTTAAATGGACAGTTTCATTCGTAGTATATTACGTGTCTATCTCCAGTAAATGTTGAGCAGAAATTCTTTATAAAATGTGTTGATTGCGTTTCTGTGCACATATTTGAAAGAATGTGTTGTCGCAGAGAGGTAAGTGGCAGGCAGCTCGAATGTCATTCCAGGCCATGCAGAAATTTAACCTTTTTTTTCCTTTTATGAATGTTGTTCAGGAACAGTACGAACCACCTTTAAAGTAACTATGTAAGAGCAGTGCCCAATGTGCTGTACAAAACTGAGCCTTTAAAACCCATCGTTGGCCAACAGCAGAATGGTTTTTAGACTATTGTTTAGTGAAAGCAGAGAGTTCGTGTAATTATTGTAGAGAGTTGGTACAGAGGTGTTGGTAGAGATACTGTAGAGAGTTGGTGTAAAGAACTGGCTAGTGCTGAATGTCAGGCGAAGTTCTACCTTACTGCTTCTTTTGGAACGTGGCATGTGCAGTGCTACTGTACATAATGCGTTTTGCTTTAGTTAGATTACTGACGTAAAGATGTATTTTTTGTGTCCGCCGTACAACATGCACCTGCCGTTGTGATCATGAGTTGTAGAGAAATGCACGAGGTCGTGGTTGATGGATTTTAAGATTGCTTGAATAGAATCCTTGATCCTAGATCCGTGCACATAGCCTCCGAAGGGCAAGCATTTGCTCAGGCTATGACCCTGCTCGTATGCTGCAGGTAATATATGCTGTGTATCGTTTATTAAGCTGATAACTACTAATATCATGAACATATATAGAGAGTAATTATATGTACATGTGTTCATGGTAATACTGAACCCTTTAACAACAGTGCTAATATTACCACGATTGACAATAATAATACTATAACAGGTACAGGAAAGTAATTCCTTTTCTTTTTACTATTGCTGAAGGGGTCGTTGTCGTATCAGGTACTACATATATGTACCCGAGGTACATATATGTATACACAAGTGTACCAGACTTGTACTACAGAAGTGTACCCTAACCCTAAACACAGGGTATACATATATGCTGAGAAGATACAGGTCTGGTATACATATACGTACCTCGGGTACATATCTGTAGTCCCTTACCCTTTCTTTTCGCAATCGAACATTTTACAATTTTTTGGTAAATATTCATTCTACTCCTTGCGTTTTAGAATGAGCTCGTGTGCAGTCTTGAATAATATATATAAGGTGCATGCACAGTAACGTATTATTGCACTGTGCTAGTGATGTACTGATATTTCACTCTTATATTAGTATGGTATGTTATCATCTCTGTATCATATATTAAATTTGTGGACCTATATTATTTATTATAGATGGAAATTTCTCTGACTATCTTGGAGTCGTATCATGATAGGTTTTATCATTGCAACTAGCGTTGTGTATGTTTAAACATTACGCTGCTGCAAGTTTTAGCGAAAATGGCTTTGCCAAGTTAATTATAATTCCAAAATGACGATACTTTAAGTATGATATATTTTGCATTAATAACGTTTATAGTATACGAAAGAGTATTTTTATGGATAACTTAGTGCTCGGTTTGTCCACTAGAGGTCGCTGACCATGCTGTGCAGTGAAGTCGATCGCTCCAAAAATATGTCACTACTAGTATTGCTGAAGGGGTCGTTGTCGTATAGGGTACCTTAATCCTAATCCTAATCCTAACCCTAACCCTAACCTCCCTAACCCTAACCCTAACCATATCAGATAGTTACCTCGGGTACATATATGTAGTACCCTATACGACAACGACCCTTTTTGCACTAGTATTCTCCTTATGTAGAACGCGGCTTCTTCCTTGTCTTCATTTAACGAACAAATGAGAGTAGTAGATACATCTTACGTTTGCCGAATGACTGACTACTAGTAGCAATGTATTATTTGTTCAAATTCTGCTCGTTTTTTGCCTGATGCATTATTTGGTCACCGAGTTTGGGTTATACGTGTTCTTACGAGTGAAATGCGTTCGAGTTTCGGGTATGTAGTTTAGTGATCCACGCAGACCTGTGCGTGCCCATAATGACCTAGTCTTCTCGGTTAACGTGTTGAAATGTCCCACTGATCATAATTACGCTGGGTGATCTGTGTACGTATTTACCTTACAACAAAACTGTACAAATTACAATTCTTTATAAAGCTGATTGAGTATGTCGTTTGTGTTTTTTTGTGATGGCAACCTCAAACTCTCAAACTGGAATAAAGAAAGCAATGAGAAGAAGTAAAAAGACAATATATGACGATAAATTGCAAAATGAATTATCTATCGTGGCTCTACGGAGCTTCGGTACATGGAGGCATCTGAGCTGATACCACGAGGTCGACGTTCGTGCGGCGAGTGTCTCGCGATAATGAAATTATACCACATATATCCATAGTAATCTTATATGGTTTAATATCTATTTCTATGGACATTGCTGGCAGTCGCCGCTCCACGGACGCGTTATACACACACACACACACACACACACACACACACACACACACACACACACACACACACATAAAAACTCTTCACTCTGATCGCAGCTGTCTGGAACTTGGCGAATATAAAGTAGTTCAGAAGCCTTCATATCGCCAGATTATGCATTGTTTTATTTCACGTCAACAGAGAATTATATGATTGCCCCATGAGTAAGCGGTGTCACTTTCCCCGGGCGTAGAGGGAGGATGCCGCTACGTGGCAGCACTAGTCACTTTCCCCGGGCGTAGAGGGAGGGTGCCGCTACGTGGCAGCACTAGTCACTTCGTACACTTCAAAGTCCAAATCTTCCACAGAAAGATTCCACAGTCATAATTCCATGCTAGACATGGCCTTATTTCCCTAACCCTAACCCTAATCCTAACACTAGTGCTGCCACGTTATTATAGATCGTATATTACGTATATTACGTATTATAGATCGATATTCGTATTACGTATTACGTATTTCGTATTCGATTACGTATATTCGTATATTACGTATTATAGATCGATATGAGAGAGAAAGATTTGTACAACTTATAACTTTATATTATTCATATGTTCATGATACTACGATATATACAAACTTTTTTCAGACAATGATATATTTCGTCAGGCAGGATCTCTATCTATCTATCTCTCTGTCTTTCTCTCTCTCTCTCTCTCTCTCTCTCTCTCTCTCTCTCTCTCTCTCTCTCTCTCCAAGAATATAGGCTGTATGGCTCATTGATGCAGACATCGCCGC